GAAAAAATCAACTTAATACAGATAGGCTGTATTGTTGCTGTTTGAGCATAAAAAAGATCTGCAAAGTTACAAAGCTCAAAGTCCACTTCAAAAGGAGATATTTTATTTAACAGAAATCACTTTTCAAAAACTACAACGAACGACTCGTTTGGACTACAACGCATATCTTCCCAAATACCGACGAATGGGACGAGACCTGGTTGAGCTGCACTAGAGAAGGCAACGAGTGATATCACTATGTCAGAGACAGCTAGCTTTCCCACGGCAGACGAACTTAGAGTGGTTACAATCATCCGGGTTTAAATCGCGCTCAAATTGATTTGATTTTGACGCAATATTTACACTGAAGCTCGCAGGCGGCTATGGTAAGGGGCATGACATTTCCCGACCAGGCACCCACATTTCGTGTTTCAGAAGGCGGGCCTTCATTTGATACGGGAACTATTCGAGCCGTTCATGCCAGACTGGGGAGAGAGGTGTTGTAATAATGTAAAATATGTGAAAAATAATGTGTTTTTCGAACAACCTAGTATGAGAGCCTGTTCTAGTACACCCCAAAAACAACATCAAGACTTTGTAAAAGAGCATAATAGGGCCCCTTTAAACTAATCATTAGAGAAAATCAAAACCGCAAGAATTGTGTGTTCTTCAGAATCCAAAACAAAGGGGATGACTTCCTCCAGAAACCTGAGGAAGAGTCTATATGTTCAGACTCTGCTAACAATGTCCTCACTATAAGTGGGAAACATTAGGCCGCTTAAGAACATTAAAGAAGAACAGGCTGTGGATGTTATGGGCTTATGGTGGCATCCAAAACTGAGGACATTAATATATGTATGTATGCATATGTAAATTTATTTGTATGCATATTTATATAAACAAAATGTGCAGAAAAAAGAGAAAGTGCATAAAAATGTCACGGGTATAAACGTGAATAGCACAATAAATATAAATATTGCATTAAAGACAATGAAAGTATTTTTAGATTGGTCTGCCTCAGTAAAAGAGTTCAAGGTAAGATTCCATTACAAACTTTTCATATTTAACAACAGTTGTCCTTCCTGTTTTTAAGAAGACAATACATTCCAGAAGGCGGTAGGTCCATAAAGACATGGTTGGATGAGTTTGGTGTAGAAGAACTCGACTGGCCCACACAGAGTTCTGACCTCAACCCCATCAAACACCTTTGGGATGAACTGGAACGGAGCCAGGCCTTCTCGTCCAACATCAGTGACTGACCTTACAAAGGCTTTACTAGATGAATGAGCAAAAATACCCACAGAAACACCCCAAAATCCTGTGGAAGGCCTTCCCAGAAGAATGGAAGTTATTATAGCTGCCAACTCCATATTAATATCTGTGTATTTAGAATGCAATGTCATTAGAGTCTCTGTTGATGTAATGGTCAGGTCTCCAGATTAAAGACTTAAACTTTAATTAGAAATTAAAAATTGAATTAGAAAAAAATGAAGGAAGACTTCTATAAGCAATACAATGTTGTAAAATTTGTATCCGGAATCAAATCGCAGTGAGATTTCAGAATGAGATCATTAAGGTCATCTATTACTTTGAAGTCACTAATCATCTGGTCCAATTTAATTTATATGCAGTTTTGGATTATTTGTTCAATATTTTCAGAGTTATGTTTTAGTGGAATATCCTGCTTCTTCTCTAACAAAATGTGTGTATTTCCTTGTATTGAAGGATCTAATTTGAATTATTAACAACAACCATATGTATGACTTCAAGATAGCTAACAGGCATCTGCTTTGTACTTTATTTGTTTCTTCATCTGTAGCATATTCTTCCATACAAACTGATCTCTCTCTCAATTTTTAATTTTATATAGCCTATAACCTTATTAATTTAGGCCTACTTAATTACCCTTGTTTCATTTCTTCTTAAAAAAAATGTTCATCAGTATGTAACTTTATTTTTTATTATTTTCTTACGGAAAGAGGTTATCTTTTTCACTTGAACACCTGCCCACCAAAATATCTGTGCATGGCCCTGACAAAGAGCTTGAATGAAACTTAAATAAAGTACACTTAACTACACTTTTTAATAAAATGATGGTCATATTAGGTGTTTTTATTGAGAGTACAAGTGCTTGCGATCACCAAATTGCACATTTTAATTCATGTTTGTTACAGTAACTTTCGTTTACACACATTACAGACCATAATGCATGCCAATATAGTCACACCTGTAAACATAAATGAAGCGTGTGTCATGCTGACCATATGAAATAAGGGGGGGCTTGGGACAAAAATGCCACCACTTCACAATTAAACTAAATCTATTCCGATACACAGCAGCATTACATTTAGATGTGCTCATGTTGCATATGCCTTTTTAATAGTTTTACAGCGTTGCGCATTATAACCAATCACACATGATTCTGTTGATATTATGAATGCAATGACCAATCAGAGGTGTTCAGATGAGTCATCGCTGAAACGCCAGAATTTTGTTCAGTGCGTGCTGGCTGACTGGATTCTCTCATCATAAACAACAAATGTGGATGTAGAGATAGTAAGAGATTCATTCATCATACAGTTAGACAGCAGTGATTATTCAGCTTGCTTGCTTATTTATTTTTGTTTGTTTGTTAAACTAGTGCTAGACTGTAGAAGGCAAATAATGTTCTTCTGTATATAATTTATTTGACTGAATAACCATAGAAAACGAAAGCATTATACTTAGTAACTTAAAATGTATTTAATAAATTGTGATGAATTTAAACAATACAAATTCAGTCGTATTAAAATATTTTATGACATGACACCCATTTCTGGTACTTGCCTAAAAAGACGGGTTTATGATGTGTGTAGTTAATCGATTACAATAATATTTGGCTACTTTTAGCCTTACTCTGGAGTTGGTTTACCTCAGCCCGCCTATACCTGTAAACGATTTAAATCGACACTGATTAATAACAAGCACTGATTTATTTATGTGTGTATGTATTTATTTATTTAGCTCCAAAAAATACAATAAAAGGCACAAGCTACAAGCAAAATTTTGCACATTTTGCAGCCTACGGTTGTTACTCTTTCAAAATGGTACTGTTTACCTTACTGGGAGTAATTGCTTTAATTCAGAGAGAAAGAAAAAAAGTCAACAACACCGACTCAGGTCAAGACGAAAAAGTGGAGCAGAGTGATGTACCACATGTCAGGAGTACTGATGGTAAATGTTAAGTCCATGTTATGAGAACATGTAACTCCTTTTACTTGAGACTGCACAGATCTCTACACTTTTATATGTAAATGTTTTTTGAAGACCACAGTAAAGAATTTAAAGGGGTCCTATTATGCTCTTTTACAAAGTCTTGGTTTTGTTTTGGGGGTGTACTAGAACAGGCTCTCATACTAGGTTGTTCGAAAAACACATTATTTTTCACATATTTTACATTATTACAACACCTCTCTCCCCGAGTCTGGCATGAACGGCTCGAATAGTTCCTGTATCAAATGAAGGCCCGCCTTCTGAAATACAAAATGTGTTGTGATTGGTTAGCTGGACCAGTGTGTGTTGTGATTGGTTAGCTGGGCCAGAATGTGCTGTGATTGGTTAGCTGGGCCAGTGTGTGTTGTGATTGGCAGCACTCGGCGCCTGGTCGGGAAATGACATGCCCCTTACCATAGTTTACTGCTGCTAGCTTCAGTGTAAATATTGCGTCAAAATCAAATCAATTTGAGCACGATTTAAACCTGGATGATTGTAACTACTCCCTCAAACAGCAACATTACAAACTAGCTAAAGTTGAAAAAGTGAAAAAGCATAATAGGACCCCTTTAAGGAGCACTTTAAGGAGCACAGCTTCTGTTCAGTTTTATAATGTCTGTAACTAAATACAACACAATAAAACAAACATGAATAAGCATAAATTATAGACTAAATTATACTGCAGAATTCAGAAAGAAACTTGACAAGATACAGGACATTGAATACCTTCACACTCATACTTTAATGCATTTACACAAAAACAGAAACTCATTTCCTCACAAGGTGAATTTTAATTCAGTGAATATTAATTACATTATATTAATTACATTACGTGAAATTTTAATTCAGTGTGTTGACATGACACCTAATTTAATGGCTCAAAGGAAGATATGAAAATCAAGATCAAATCAAGTCACATAAATATTATTTAAATAAAACAATCGTTTGGCTCATATTGGCTCATATTGGCTTTTGGCTCATTTCTCCCTTTAGATCGAGAAGTCAATGGTGACTTGACTGAAGGCCTATCACTGGATGAACCTATCAGTGGTCACCTTGAAACTCCAGTTCATGTTACACCTGACTTGAGTGTTGACATCCCGCAAGCTGCAGTCTGTGCCACTGACGTCCCGCAAACTACAGTCTGTGTCACGTCAGACTGTAGTGCTGACGTCCCGCAAGCTGCAGTCTGTGCCATTGACGTCCCGCAATCTACAGTCTGTGTCACGTCCGACTGTAGTGCTGACTTCCCACAAGTTACGGTCTGTTTCACGTCCGATATTGTCCCTGCAGCTTTTTTTTTTTGCCACGTCCAACTACTACCCAGTCCCTAAGCCTAGGCTATTTAAGAAAAAAATAAAATAAATAAATAAATACATTAAAAACACATGAAATTAAACATATACATTTAAAATTTAAATTATATTATTACAAGCACAGTCTAATTTTTAAACTGCTTAAAAAAGTTTTTTGCTGGCACTTTAAATGCACACTCTGGTAGCAGAAACGTGCAGCCCACATGTAAACAGATGAAAGCAGTAATGGAGATAACATTAATAGATTGTCAAGAAATGTTTGTACTACAAAGTTTGAAAAAATACATTATATTTACTTTTTAAGATAAAAGTTTTTTGTCCATGTCCAAATGGCTGCAATAAGGACCATAATCGGCAGATGGCAGCATTTATCTTGTTTTTTTCCAAGTGCACCTGTCAGAGCGTACCGTGAGTGACGTCGCACACCTCACCTTATCTTTCCCGCCCCTGACGCAGATTCTCACATTCACGCGCTCATAAGTTTGAAGCAAAGCCTCTCTCAGCTCAAATCTAGCAGCCCGTTATTGAGCAAGAAGACTGCGGTCACTTTCTTTAGGAAATCTATAACAGGGCTCTACAGACGGCCGTCTTGCTATGAGGGCTTGAGGGAGGCGATAAGCGTGCTGTCTTGGTTATTTGGGAGTTTTTGGCGATCCGAATTAACGACATCTGAGTGCGCGAGCTCATCGCGAGACGGGCAGAGGAATGTCGCGCGATCCGGACGAGGTGAATAAACTGACCGAGAGCACTTACAAGGTGAGAAAAACCACACTCACTCACGAGAAAACGCGAGTATTATTCACCTGTTGAGACTACAGTGGCTAGGTTAAGCGTTGACATCCACCCATGGAGAAATTTCATCGAGCACAGGTTGACAGTTTGTTGATTTCTGGATTGAGCCGGTCATTTTTCTGGTTAGGAAACTTTTAACCTGGTCAGGAAACTTTCGGTCAAACTGTAGGCTATTACGTAGAAAAGGCCATTTTATGTTTAAGCTGTTAAAGTTGAAAAAGACGGACACGATTCTCTTCAGGTTATTCAAATTTCGGGTTGTCGTTGAGCCACAGGTGGGTCTTTACCGGAGCACAAATGGCTCTTTTGATATATTGACACACCCAAATGAGTCAGATATGAATCCCAGATTCAGATTCAGATCCAGGGATTTGGACACACAAGTATACTGATACTCTTTTTTTTTTTTTTTTTGCCTCATGGGAATGTATTATCACTAAACCCTTGTGTGAATCATGCTTTACTTCCTCAACAAAAAAAAACAGGCACAACCAATTTGTTAACATGTTAAGGTCACATACACATATACATGTGTGTATACCGGCCCAACCCTAGTGTGTATATATATATATATAACCTGATGATACATTATTTTGTTTTTTCTGTAATTCATATGTCCTAATCGTAAAAAATACCATTTCATTTTTAATGCATATAATATTCTTCCTTATGTTTTTGGAGTGGAATATGACCTGGGCTTGTTCTTAACATTTTTTTTTTTGTGACATTCACTCGGGTGGTTTACTGATATCGAGTAAGGGTGTATTCACACCAGGAATGTCCGCTAGTTCGCTTGCTTTGGTCCGGACCAAATACAATGTTGTTTTTTTTTGTTTTGTTTGGTGCAGTTCGCTTTCACACTGCCCTTTTTTGCAGGTGGACCAGAAATAGTAAACAAAACCACACGTGTGCTAAGGTCATCCATTCATTGGACAGAAGTTCTCAAGCAGGGACAACAGGAAGTGCAAAAACAGGCTTATCATGGCGATCTTTAGTAGTGCAGTTTTTATTCTGTGTTATTTATTTAGTGTTATCAGATACTAACGCAATATGACCTGCTTTCAGATGGAGCAGCATTTACTACACAGAGCCGTAGTTCACTCACAAGTTACGCAAAAAAATGAAGTTACGCAGACGATTTTAAAACTGTAAAGGGTCTATTTTTATTTGTGTGCACTCACAATATCAAGAAAACGTTGTGCTATTGTAAAATAAAGAAAACAAATAGGATGCGCTTGCCATCTCGGGAGCACTTCACAAAAATGAACCAAAACTCAGCACTATATGCGCGAGCTGTCTGTTTCTGAGCGTGATTTCTGCAATTAGGTCGGATCGAGGTCAGGTCATACCAGAGTTCGTTTGGAAGCGGACCGAGACCACCTCTTCAGTTGGGTCTCGGTGCGGTTGTTTGGTCCGCACCAGAGTGCGATTGCTGTATTCACACCTGCCAAAAAGGTCCGCACCAAGAGGGGAAACGAACTTGAGTTCGATTCAATCGAACCAAACAAGACAGGTGTGAATACACCCTAACTTTCCTTGTAGAGACATAGATCCCACATCGTAAAAAATAAATGATTAGCCTAATTTAAAAGTTATTTTTAAAAGTTCTCTCAACTATTGTCTTAATAATTGTAACATTTCTTAGTTTTGTCAATTTGAATTTGTTCGTTTACTAAATGCAACATTCACATTCAGCCAACAAATTAACCATTAAGGCAAATACATTTATCGAGTTAAGCACATTTTCAGTTAGTACAGATAAATTGGTAATTTTGTTAGCTATATTGTTTTTAATAGGACATTTAATGTGAAGTGAACAAAGGAGCAATCATCTTACAGTGCAAGGATATCAGGGAAATAGTTTTAAAAGTTGGACAGACCCCAACACTTGACAAACAATACTCAAGAATAGTGTGAGTCAACAAATGTAAAAGAGCTCTTAACATCACAACAAATAACTAACAATAATTACAAAACATCAAAAGTCAGCAAACAGTGAAACAGAATTCTAACAGTAAATGCATAATTTATTCATGATGCCGTGCAGTGCATTCTGGGAACTCACAAACCCTTAACATTCAAATTATGCAGTCTGAAATTCTTGGTTCAGACTACTGTTTTTGACTAGTTGGGCCAACATAAGAGGGAATTCTTTTGAACAAACATGGATTTTTTTTAAATGTATTTTCAAGTAGTTCTTAGTATTTAGGACTCAAAGTCTCATAAACTGAAAAATATTCTGTTTCTTTCTTTTTAACAGCATGATGACAGACATTACAAGTTACAAGATTACAGTTAGTTTGAGGTCCACTAATTTTACAGTATAACTGTGCCACTGAATGAATGCTTTGATTGGGAGGTTTATTATCAGCGACGGCTCCCACACGTCATATCTGTCCATGAGTGCGTCATTCCAATATAGTTTAATTCCAGTATAATATCAGCTGTTCCTCCTGTCATACAGTCTCAGGCGGTTCGATACGTGTCAGGGAGTGGGCTGTCTTCATGAATTGAGGATTAGTAAGCATGAAGTAAGCACACAGATGCCGCTTGAAGTTCAGTAAATATGACCAAGCCCAAGTGTTCACTAGTGACTAATTCAAATCTCTGCCTCCTTTATCCTTCGAAGAAACCAGGAACTGATGCAGTACTGGCAACAATTAAAACGCATGGTAACTGATCTTGTTGTGAAAAGCAGTAGAGTTTCCTGTAGTTCTCCACTCGAGTTCGAACTTGATTCTCCCAAACTTTGTCATTCACATGATGTCACCACCAGACTGTCTCATCGACTGTCTCTCGACTCCCAATACTAACACTGAGAGGCGCGCATATGAATTTCAATTCAAGATCTTATTCGGTCCTGACAGAGAGGAGAAACGGGCACAGCACCTCTACGATGTGCAACCTGTGAGAACATCTACAGAAAGTATCCTGGAAGAGTCGAGTGGATCAACTCAAGAATGGATTATTTCTTCTTGAAGGTTTCTCACAGGTTATGCAGATGACTGGCTCAAATCCAAACAGACCCATATTGAAAGAGTGCTGCCCACAAGTAAAGATATCTGTGAATTTATAAATTACCATTGGAATGAACTAATTAGCATATTAGGTGTATAATACTATTAGTAAGACATTAGTTACTTTAGGCAAGTCATTTGGCGGCCATCTTGGTAATGGCCCCAGGCAGCTATTTTCTAAGTACAACTCCCATGTACAAAGGATTACATTCCAATAACATGTCAAATCACCAAAACATTCTGCCTACAAAATGCTTCTTTAGGACTTATTACACACATTGATCTAACTAATATGCATGTGCATTCTAGAGTAAACCTAGTAGCAACATCGCTATAAACAAATTATTTAATAATATATTGGTGATGCACCAAAAGTTCATCAACAAAGAAATATTCAGCCGAGACAGCAAAAAAAAAAACAAAATTAAATTAATTTCTGTCAAAATGTAGTTTTGAGGGTTTCACTGACTAAATTTGTGACGTTTAATTAGTGCTTCTCTGACCAACAATGATGCAAAATTTGTTTGGCTGAAATTAGGGATGCACCGATACCACTTTTTTCAGTACTCGCCCGATCAAACTTTCCAGTGATGTCTGTGAGAAAGATATATTCACTCGACAAGCTCGCGCATCTGCGCCGCCGCGCGCTCAATCCACTCAGCGTGCTTTGTTCGCGCACATCAGCTATACAGGCGTTAATACTGAATGTTTAACATTATATTCATTGCATACATATACTTCGTAGTAGACATCCTTAACGCCTTTCTGCTGTCTGTTGTTCTGTTGTCGGTGTTTCTTTGTTTGAATATGGCGCTTATCACATGCTGTGTGGTATCGGCGTTTGGTATCGGGGCATTTTAACGAGTACGAGTACAGGAGACCAGTATCGGGCCCGATACCGATACCAGTATCGGTAGCGGTGCATCCCTAGCTGAAATATCAAGGTAGCTCAAATAACTTTTTTTTTTATTACTGGTTTTTATTTACCAATGTTTTACTTTTAGTTTTTGGCTAAATTAACTTTAATTTTGGTTTTAGTGTTTGGTAAATAACAAAAAAATTGTTTAAAATAAAATACATACATATATATATATATATATATATAAAACATTATGGTGTGTCACTATAATACTGTATACCATTAAAGCAAAAATGTGGGATTTCCTTTCTAACAGCCACTGTATTGAATGTTAGTTCTTTCTTTCTTTCTTTCTTTCTTTCTTTCTTTCTTTCTTTCTTTCTTTCTTTCTTTCTTTCTTTCTTTCTTTCTTTCTTTCTTTCTTTCTTTCTTTCTTTCTTTCTTTCTTTCTTTCTTTCTTTCTTTCTTTCTTTCTTTCTTTCTTTCTTTCTTTCTTTCTTTCTTTCTTTCTTTCTTTCTTTCTTTCTTTCTTTCTTTCTTTCATGAAATGGTTACTTTGGGTCTCTTTAGGGTTGGGTAGATATCACATCTCCATATTCATTACCTAGAATTACAAGAGCATACTTGAATATGTTGTTATGGCCTGAAGCAGAAGCATTTTACACTTTGAAATCAGGTAACTCAGGCCACTTTTGATGTAACCCTGCATGCACAGTACATTAAACCAGAGACACTTTAAAATGACACTAAAGAGGGGTTGTTTCATGAACAGAACCGTCTCCGTCCACACAATGTCAAGATTGCGACTGATTACATCATGATTGCTCATGCTAACATTTTAACCATTTCCCCTGTTTGAAATCCCTCTTCTCAGAATGTTATGGAACAATTCAACCCCGGGTTGCGTAACCTCACAAACCTGGGAAAGAGCTACGAGAAAGCGGTTTCAGGTGAGCCTCACCTTTTCATATCCTTACTATTAGAACAAGCATAATAAAGCCCATAATGTAATTTTTTAAAAAGTTTTAACTAATAAAGCATAATTCTAAAGCATAATAAAGCATTATTACACATTTTTAGCCACTGTCGATTGTAAGGCTGCATTGCTTTATGAAGCATTTGGTATTTGCGAGTACCTATAATCTGTTTTTATTAGTGATTGATGATAAATACTAGGTTTTTAATTAGTGGTCGACCGATATTGTTTTTTTTTTTTGACGGCCGATGCCGATATCTTGGAAAGCAGGGTGGCCGATATAAAGCCGATATAATTGTATTTATTTTAATGTTTAAGAAATTTGAAATCATTTGAAACTTGATTAAAAAGTAAATGTGTTAAATAAACATACTTATACTTTAGATGACAGTATTTTTCACAAATAGATATTTAATAAAAAATATAATAACAAAAGGAAGTAAACACTGTATCCAACAGGGCACTCATTATTCTGGGAAGTTTGTGTTCATTGGGAATCATATTTTTTCAAATAAAGCTAAGGTAACACTCATTTTACATACAGCACACAGTGGAAATGACATGAATATGGCAGTGGGCAAATGCATAAAGCGCAGCATAATTTGAAATCACTAGTTTAAAGTTTGTCGATCGCGTGTCTCCAGTGAAGCTGAACTCTCCTCCTGTCCACATTCAATTCACACAGACCAGCCGTCACCCAGAGAACACACGATCATGCAGGATACACATGCACACTTCACAAGATCTCACAACTGGATCCGACTAAGTTTGCAAGCTTTGTGAAATTAAATGTTCATTAGTCATTCAAAGATTTGTTTAAATGATATAAATGCGTATTTGCTGAATGCTGATGGCAAATGAGAAAGTATTATAATGTTTGCCTTTCTATTACTAATAATATAAAAGCAATCGTTATAATACTTTTTGTATACATTTTAAGTCCTTTGTTTAACCGTTCTATCTGATTATTAGACAGACTTCTATCCGTATTAGACAGAACTGTTAACGACGACGGCGAACAAGAGGGAGAAGCCGTCGCGCTGTCAAAATAAATGTCCCGCCTCGAACGCATCGGCCAAACAGGAAAACTTATCGGCTGATGCCGATATTTGAAAAATGCCAAATATTGGCCTTGGCGATATATCGGTCGACCACTAGTTACTGATAAGGTTTTAATTTCCTGACAACATCCAGTTCTACCTGGTACTATTCACTGCTTCAGGCTTTCTGACTGAATAGCTCAAACCCTCACAAAACTTCACTGTGCTGCTATGCAGGTGTTCACACATTTGATTGGTGTTGCTATGCTGCTTCGCTCCATGGCTACATTCACACCTCATTGGTGCTCTTATAGTACCAAGATGGCACCGGGACCTATGTAACCGGTATGTACTAGAACCGAATCCGAACGCAGATTTCGGTGCCTCATTTCGGTGCCATGCCTGAGCGATCGAGTTAAATATTTGTCCTCGGGTTCTCCCGAAACGGACGTAAGAAGCATCATCACTGGCACCGCACGTGAGCATCTGAGGAGTGCGTGAATGCAGTAATTACACTTGCTCTGATGGCAGCAGGTAGCCTTCCGTTAACTAAGCTAAACATGCTTAACCCTTTCGCACACGAGTTTAAAATATTCTAGCTGAGCCCCCAGCGTGAGTTTTTTTTAGGCGACCATTCTTTTAGAATGTATCGCCTTATTGTTTCCATGGCAACGCGTCATGCTTGTCATATGACACAATGCAGCCAGTTGTTAGGTGAAGCCCCGCCCACAAACCCCGCCAATCCATCATTTTTGGGGGGAATTTGTATATATTTATTTTTTTAATACGTATCGGTTTAGGCACCGGAACCGTTTTAAAAGTATTGATTTGGCACCGGTATCGAAAAAAAAAAAAACGATACCCAACCCTATTGGCGATATATCGGTTGACCACTATTTTTAATGGCCCATGCCGATATCTAGAGAGCAGATTGTTAATGGCAGCTATATATACACATCAAGATTGCACAACATAGAGGAAAAATGTGGTGTGATCAACTTTGGATAATGAGGTGTGATAAGTCCAAGATTAATTTGTCAAATCAGTTTCAAATATTTATTATCAATTACAGGCAGGAAATAATGACACATGCAATATCAACATCTCCTCTTTTTCTGGGTAGATAAACATCAGTCCAACTTAACTTTGTAATGGCAATCAAATTAAATCTAAACAAAGGGTAGACTTAACTTAACGATTTACACATGCAAAATTACATCCAGATGAATAATGGAGGGAAGGATGGAGCATTGAGTTCACTTTTTTCTTTTTGTAACATCCCTCACTCCCACGTAACCCTTTCCTCAGATTGTTTATGTAGTTACTTGTCAATCTGGAAAAAGTAGGTCTTCTGAACAAAGGGTAGGTTTCATCACATCTTGAACAAATGGATTGCTGCTTTAGAAAGAGGGCAAGATGTACTGTAATAACCAAACTCACAGACTAAACACAACACCTCTTATACAGCTTGTTGTTCCTGGACTGACTGAAGAGGTGTGTCGAATTTGCCCTCTGAGTAGCTGCCAGCAATCTACAGGTCTTACAGACAGTAGCTCTCTTGATTGAGCGTGCTCATAAAACCATTGTTGTTTGGGCACTGTGTTTTGGCTCCAGATCTTCTTCTGCCATAAACCCAGTGGTAAGTCAGGCTTTAAAAACATGTCTGGAGACATGGGCGTTCTGTTGTGCTCCATCCAAATATCTCCTCCTAGCTGCTTTTGAATTACTTTTTTATATTTCGCTGATGACAAATGCAGACTGATGGAATGAAATAATTATAATATTATACTCAAAAGTATTTGGAAGACATTAGAAAGCCTTTTTTTGATCAACGCAAGAATTAACATTTCTGTTATTAAGCCAAGTAGGGGACTGTCATTATATTATTAGTAGGGTTGCAAAGCAGTGGAAAATTTCTGGTAAATTTCCGGAAACTTTCCAAAAATCCCTGGAATATTCCAAAAAAATCTGAAATTTTGTTTCCGAAATTTACTGGACATTTTCCACCTTTTTGCAACCCTAATTATTAATGACAATACTGTATACTATCACTAGAAAACCTAGTGAATGTGTGGCATGTTGTGTGAGCATAGAAAATGAAACACAAATCTTGCACGATTCCCCCTTAGTATAATAACATGTATTCTTATCCTTGTTTTGCAGCCATGGTTCTGGCTGGGAAGCAGTACTTTGATGCTGTATCTAAGATCGGGGAGAACGCAGCCGTATCTCCAGTGTCCAGGGAGCTGGGTGAGTCACGGCTAATTCTTTTATTAAGAACTGCATGAGCATTTTTCCATTTACTCTTCCTATAGTTCCATTTGTCATTTCTAGAGATAGAAAATGTTAAAGGCAGGCTAGGTGATGTGGTTCAAAAACATTTTTTGTAATGCTGGTTGAAAGTCTCTTCACATCCCGATAGCAATCACTAAGTTAAGTGGTCTAAATATATTTGTGTATTTTTTAGGGCTGGTAATTTAACGCATTAATTAGATTAATTAATTACGGTGAAAAATAATGCGTTAAAATTAACGCATTTAACGCACTTGCCCCGCCCCAGACCTATGTGGGTCATCTGACATGTCATAAAGTCGATTGATGACAAATATGAGGCAGGGCAACAACTCACTGCGTGATGGAGCTATAGAGAACATAGTTGTCCGTAAAATTTAAGATATGGGGCAAAAATGCCCCTGTTTGAGTTTTTGTCTCATATTTAAATCATATAGTTAAGCAATATCACACGAGCAATAGGCTAAGTGCAATATCACATGAATGCAAATGTGATACTGATCTTATACAACAGTTCAGTAAGTAAGAAGTTAATATTGTGTTATTTTAGACACAATGTTGTCTGTTTTGCTCAATTTTTTTCAGATCCTCAGAGAGTTCTTTGCCATGAGGTGCCATGTTGAACTTCCAGTGACCAGTATGAGAGAGTGAGAGAGATAACACCTAATGTGTTATCAAAAATGCCCGTTTGAGTTTTTTTCTCATATTTACATCCTATAGTTATGTAGCAATATCACACGAGCAATAGGCCGTGCAATATCACATGAGTGCAAATGTGATACTGATCTTATACAACAGTTCAGTAAGTAAGTTGTTAATATTGTGTTATTTTAGACACAATGTTGTCTGTTTTGCTCAATTTTGCCAACTAAAATATAAAGACTAAGCAGAACTGCTCGTCTCCGTCTCCATGCAACACATCGGCATTTCATTTCTTAATGCAGGTTTTGAACGAATTGAGTGAACCATTTGGCGCGTTGAACCATTGGCCATAGGCGTGTTGGATTTGAAGCAGAGCTCCACATCTGCTCTCTAATCGCTCTTGCGGTACTTTGATGTCCACACCGATCGATCTGATGGTGATGATCCGCTTCAAGTCGGAACAAGCTTTTCAAAGTAAGCCATCAAATGAACGACTCAAATGAATGAATAAATGACTCGATGACTTAATCATTAAGACATTTACCACCACCTTCTGGCAGTTTTAGTTTATTATTTAGCATCATTTCATTAAAGAAATAATTTAATATTTCCATAATAATAATAAAATTAATCAAATTAATTATTAAAGGTATAGTTCACCCACCCAAAAATGACAACACCCTCATGGTCCAAAAGAGTATATGTAATAAATTTTATCAAACAAAATATTTCTTGCTGAAGCTACTTTTTGTAATGTCTGTTCGATGCTTTACACAACAATGACTTTAAATTATCTTTTGGGAGTAATTTCTCAGCCAAATTTGATGTGCGATTAATTAGATGAATGAATCGCCACATCATGTAATTAATTAGATAAAAAATTTTAATCGCTTACCAGCCCTAGTATTTATATCATCTGTGGAAGGTGTAGGACCATAAAATGTTCGTCCAATCATATCCCTCGGTCCGAGGACTATGATATGCTGTCCTACCTGCCTGCCAACGTATGTATTATCATACTTCTGCGCACCCTGTTCATGCAGACATGATATCAGAGCGGTTCATTACGCTATTGCAGACCAAGCAAGAATGAAAGGCGTCATTATTGTAATATTATGCGCTTTGTACGGTAATTTATTCTCAGCAGTGAATGAGACATGAGGTAACCTGACAGCGTTGCATCAATGCTCCACCAACACCGTCTCTCATCGTGTCGCTGGTTAGCCTCTGGTTAACTCGCGTTCATGTGTTTTGCAGGAGGCTTGGCTTTGGAGAGTGATTTTGCAGGGAGGGTGGGATCTTATGCTTTCAAAGCTAGCTTGCTATTGCTAGCCTCTCTGAAATCGCCTACCCTACCTTTTAAGGAGGAATATATCATGTCTTTGTTATAGAGTTCACAAAAACAGTGTAGTAATCATTTAAGTTCATTTAGTTGTCATTAGCACTGAATACTGATAAACACTGACCTGTAATCTTTCTTTATCACCATTTCCTCTATCGTGTCAAAGATAACATGGGCCATAATCTGACGTTGTAATAACGTGCAGGAATGTGCCATAAAGCATGTTATGTGGCCTGAAATCACGTTTCGGTTTCCTGTTCCGTTCAGCATGTTTGAAACCATTGACTTTGAGCTGTTTGTTGACACAGCATTGTATCTGCTGGACCATAATAATGGTGGATATATTGCGTTTATTCAATCATGTCATGTTTGAGAACTCAGGATTCAAAACACATGTTGAGAGCCTGTATGTCTTTTTCTGCTTTTTATAAAAATTGTCTTTGAAATGGAATGCAGTATGCAACTGTAAATAACATTTCAGATAACATAATGTGCTACACTACTGACACATGGCCCGATTCCAAAACAAAAAAAGCTTCTGAAATGAGTGGGGGTACTTCAAGTGCAGAGGTAATGTGTAGGTAATTAATGGCACTTACAGTACAAAAATATTTTAAAAAGCACCACTGCGACACGCAAACAAGTGTAGGAGGTTGAATTTTTAATACATTAATTGCTTTAGCTTTATATTAGGGTTGGGTATCGTTTGAATTTTATCAATTCAGATTCCGATTCTGCTTATCGATTCCCAGTTTCAATTCCAATGTGATTAAATAATGATATCAAACAGTTATCCTCTATCTCTTTTTTGCAAACCATTTAGTTGCAGCTGAATACCATGAACAAAAATCAACAGGCTACATAAAAGCTGGACTCTTTAAAGGTCCCATATTGTCAAAACTGAAATTTCCTGGCTTTTTTCATGATTACTGAGGTCTAGGGGCTATTTAACTACCATATAAGTTTCAAAACAGTCAGTCCACAGTAAAATTCACACAGCCTGCTTAAAGTTCTAGCTATTTTTCACGAACCGGTGTGACTTCCGTAAAAAGTTGACGTCAGAACTACACAGTCACTGCCTTCAGTCGCCACCCCGAGCACCGCCCACCGTCCCACGTATATTGAGATGGTTTTTGGTACTTATACCGCAAATATATATTCTTAAGGACATCAAAACCTCAAATAAAACTCCAGAAAGGTGTACAATATGGGACCTTTAAGAACTGTTTGTGTGCAAAATGGAACTGAATGATTCTGGATAAATTGAGTTTTTTTTTTGTTTTGTTTTTTGTTTGTTTTTTTCCCCCAATGGAAGCTAAATGATTCAATGACTCACTCAAGATGTACTTGTTTCATTACTGGATGAATCGGCGTTCTTGAACGAATAACTTGTACCATTCAAAGACAAATACATTTTAACAGCCCCTTTTCACCACCTACTGGCATAAGAGTGTAATTGATAAATCTTCATTTGAAGTGTCAAATTACTTTCAAAAGGTGATTTACTCTTTTAATCGCTACCGTACACATCAGAGTTTATATCTAAACTATAAGCCTTTATCCCAGTACTTCTGTGATTTGAATGTTTGTAACAAATAATGATACTGTGTGGTTGAAAAGACTGTGAGGCTGTTTCATTCATGACAGATGACAGCAGCTCTCTTTAGGTCAATGGCAGCGTGAACGCAGATTTAAATGTTCAAATCACACTGGTGTGATCGTACGCTGCACGGACGAACCAAGTGATCACAACATTGATTGCACACGTCAAAGGTTGAGTAATGAAACAGACGAATCATAGAATAAAATCACGTTGGTGTTCGAATTGCGTTCGCGATCTTTAACGATCTATTAAATTAAAGTGCTTTGTCATGTTGGTGGTGACACCTCTCTTGCAACATGTTTAGCTATCACAGATATTATACTTCGCTTTTTTGGCTTCTGATCGCAAATGTAGCCAAACTTTGGAGCACTTAGATTAGCGAGCAAGGTCCTGGCAGATCGCTAGGTCGGGTCCTCACAGATGAAGAAAAAAAAAAGCGCATATGAATCGATAGGCGGAATCGAAATTTTTATTTGACTACAAGTATCCGATTCTTGACCTTAAGTATCCGATTCTGGAATTGGGATCAATTTTCGATTCCCAACCCTAGTCATTATGCCATTAAAGTCACTATGAATTATTATGCAGTCAATTACACATAAAAATATTATACATATGAGTATGTTGACTTAGAACAACAGAGGGTGTAAACCATGCAATTGAACTATAAGATGTAACGCTGCAACAACTAATCGATAAAATATATCTCTTGTGAGAGATGTGATGTAGGTTTAAAATTTTAGTATAGGGACCAGTGCTGGGGAAAGTTACTTTTAAAAGTAATGCATTACAATATTGCATTACTCCATAAAAAAAGTAACTGTTTGCGTCATATTCTGAGTTGCATTATTTTTATTCATTTTGAGGAATACTGAATCTGTGTGTTTTTTTTTTGTTTTTTTTTGTGAGTGAGATGAATTAATGCATTCATATTTATTTTAGAAATACAGTAACGTCTTCTGATTTCTCTCGACATGGGGACAGGAGAGCTGTCAATCAATAAATTGAAAAAAAAAAAAGTAACTTGTGTTACTTATTTGAAAAAGTAACTCCGATATTCTCTTGTAAATTAAAAAGTAATGCGTTACTTTACTAGTTACATGAAAAAAGTAATCTGATTACGTAACTTGCGTTACTTGTAATATATTACCCTCAACACTGATAGGGACCAATTCTCACTATTAACTGGTTGCTTATTAGCATGCCTAACATATTGGCTGTTTATTAGTACTTATAAAGCACATTCTGCATGACCATATTCTACATTAATCCTACCCAATACCTAAACTTAACAGCTACCTTATTCACTATTAATAAGCAGCGAATTAGGAGTTTGAGGAAAATGTTGTAGTTAATGGTTTGTTAATAGCG